TTGAAGAGTCGCCACCTAATGATTAAGTGCATTAGGACACTAAGGGTTTTGAATTTGAAAACCAGAGTTCGGGTAAGGGCTAGAAATTATCTCGAGGGGAAGGTGTTAGGCACCCCTCAAGATCCACTAGTGTGGTTCCCGGCCATGCTACAATTGTGACTTTAAATGCAAATAACAAGTAGACAAACAAGAATTACAAAAACAAAGAGGGATTTTTCACATAATAGGTTGCAAGGGATTAAGGAAATTAAAGAAACTGAATTTTGATAGAGGAAGCAGTTTTAAAAGCTTGAACGAAAGAGTAAAAGAGAAATTTTTACATAGTTGTTGCAAGTTAAAAGCAGTTTAAAAGCTGAAGTTTGGCAAAAATAAAATGGACAAGTAAGGGAAGGGGTCCTAGGCTTATACATAATATGGATCACCCCACACAACACCCGGTAACCGTTTATACACGTGGTGTTATCGCGTGGTCATCATATCCATATCTACCCTTTCCCACCCCGTTAAGGTATTAAGTGCGAAATGGTATCGTTACCTATAGCATGCTATTACCCGTCCCAATCCTATCAGTCCCGGAGGCATTTGGGACTTCTAATCCAATCAAGGGAAGGAATTTTTGGGCTTTTTCAAGAGTTTAGAAAGGTAAAAATTCTAATGCGTCAAACAAAACACATAGGATAGTTATGGGGTACACATAACAATTAAGGGCTCACATAAGCCTCCTTAGAATCACGAAAATGTAGTTTAGAATGCCTTACATATACTGATTAGGTCTGAATTAAACTTAAACGTTAAGCGGACTGGTTCAACCCATATTTTTAGACAAGAAATCCGCATTAGGTCCGCCTGGCTGCAATTATTGAAGACTGATGCCTGGCTGTAATTATTGAAGACTGATGCAGTTACAGCTTTTTACCCTAAGGCTTGCCTGGGTGAAACTTATAGACATGATATCTACTGGTTTCAGAAAAGAAGTAAACAGGTTACAGAAGAGTTGCCAGTTTTAACAGAGTAATACAAGTTCTGCAATTGATAACGCGTTATTACTGATAAATTACCTTAAAACGAGTGAGGTAATTCAGAATTGATTGACAGTTCCTATAGGCATGTTTTCTAGCGTTGTTAATTTTAAACACTTTTATAGACATGGAAGAAAATGCAGAAAACCTACAACATGATATCTAGGTGTTGCATTTTATTACGAACGCGATATCTGATTGCATTTGGTTATTAAGACCTATAAACATGTTTGCCTAATGAGGAATGGATATGCAACAATCAGAAAGGACCTATAGGCATATTTTCTACATGCAGAAATCCTATAGGCAGGGTATCTATATGAGAACATGCTGAGATTAGAAATCCTATAGACATGGTATCTACATGAGAACATGCTGAAAAATAGAAATCCTATAGACAGGTTATCTACATGAGAACATGCTGAAAAATAGAAATCCTATAGACAGGTTATCTATATAAGAACATGCTGAAAAATAGAAATCCTATAGACAGGTTTTCTACATGAGAACATGCTGGAAAAAAAATAGAAATCCTATAGACACGTTTTCTACCCCCTTTTGCATACATGGTTACGCTCCCCTTCC